ATGTTTCAAGCTAAGCAATTCTATCACGTCTGCATTTCTTTTGCACATCTGTATTTCAATCACAAACTAATTGGAACTGCAGGCAGGATTATTACAGAACCTAAACACTCTTTAACTCTTTAGCAGGGAGTGGTTTGGTGTTGCAATATGAAAGGATATAATTGGGGAAAAATACATCTTAAGCACTGCATTAGAGTTTTATAAACACTTTCTACTGTGCCAACTTTTGTAGAATTTTAATATTTGGTCAGTAATATGGGTTTGGCCTTTCTTGTAGGTCATCGGGAGGACCATGCGCCAAATTAAACAGTTGAGAAAGGGATTAAAAGATGTGATGCTATGGCCCCTGCTGACATCAAGGCCAGATGTTGTCCCACTTCTTTTTCCGAAAATGGCAGGAATGCAGTTTGTACCCCAGGTGATTTAGTACATCCAACTTATTAACAATACTTAAAATATTAATAAATGTGTGTGCAAATCTTATTGTTTAATTTACTGAGCTGGATATTTTCTCAATTACCAAGACTGTAATCTATATTCCTTTTCATCAGTGCTGAATTATAAATTATCCTAGACACCAAAATACTTTTCAAACTTTTTTTTTTTCAGATGTTCCTAGACAAAATCACATGGCCTGTGGAGGACAGTGATGATGAAGAACTTGACATTGAGTGCAAGTGCCGCATCACTGGTTTTCTACGGATGTTCATTGAAACAGGTATAGCTATCTTATTTTGCAATTTATTTTCATGTTTACCAATGTCTCTATGTCCCATAAACATCTCACTTAACACTGTAGAATATATGAAATGCATAGGGATTTGAACAGTTACAGTGCACTGTGTTCTTAATCCACTTTATGACGTTTTAGCTTCATCAGATACTCTGGCTCAGTTGCTGAAGTTCTGGGTCGGCTGGGAAATGCTCCCTCCAGAACTCAAAGTGGAGTTTTCCGGGGGAACCTTCCCATCATCCTCCACATGCTTTGAAACACTGAAGCTGCCAGCTCATTATAACACCTACAAAGACTTTGAGGAAGCACTTGTTGCTGCCATAGATAGTGCACACACTGGATTTGGTCTTGTTTAAGTATTTTCAGGCAATGATGTTGCTGTGCTTTTATTCAGTAGAAAAAGGTCAATTTGAGTGAAGTGAGTTCAGTGTTTTTCTAACATTTAAAATACAGTGCAGTATTTTCTTTCCCTGAAAATGATACTGCTTTGTTGTTGCTCTTCTGTCAACTGTTTGATACTTAAGTGTGCATCACCTTGCTGTCCTTGCCTGTTGTCATTGGCTACATAAGGTTGTTGAAATTTCTGTTTATGCTAGAAAAAATGGTTTTATTTGCATTAAAACAGCATATTATTATTTCAGATTTGTATTGACAAATCAAGTTAACTAATTCATGAGTGACATTTGCACATGCTTAATAAATAAAATATAAAGCCTGGTTAAGATATCAGTTTCCAATGATTCTTGACAAAACTTGCACTGTCTCCAAATATGATCCAGTTGCATCATTTAAAGAAACTCCTGAAACTGGCAAAATGGCAACCTCTTCATCTGAGAGCTCATGGGCCATCTGAATCTCAGGAACTGACACAGTGTCTCCATGCTGATTGTGAGGCCCATTCCAGTCGATCCCATAGTCTTCATAAACCTGAACAGAGGATAACCTTGATTGACATAGTGTTTAAACTACTATGACATGTCATCACACAAGATTCATGGGATTGATCATTGGTCCTTATGTTGGTGACAAATTAAGTTTTAGGCACTTTGCTGCTCAGATGTTGTTCTGTCAGAGCTCAGGAGACAGAAGAGATTCTCTCATGTTTCGTTCAAAAACAAGAACGAAGTGATAACAGAAACCCTTTTATTAAAATATAGTGGGTCCAATTATCATCTGTCTGAAATGTTTCTTCTAAGAAATTTGAGGAAAAATAAATCTGCTAAACATCAGTGACAAACACCTGTATCTCCTGACCAACAAAATATTAATATATTTTCAAAAGGTTTCAATAATAGTGTAAAACTACAATCTTTTTTTTAACCTCTGCAGGATCCTCCATGGGGCCTTGCTCTCTGTATCTTCTCCAGAGTTCATTAGGTGATTGATTCCTTTCAGTTCTAAGTCCATGAAAGTTCCAAGCATCTCTGAAGGAGCTGAGGGTTCTCTGAATTTGGGGAAGGAAGATCCGGTGCAGGGCATAAAGATGGACTTCGTTGTCTGGATTGAGTGTCCCCTGATCTTCCAATGAAGTGAAGATCTGATAGAAGAGGTCTAGGGCATGCTCATAAACATCTCTCCACATCCTCTCTATTCTGCAATTAGAATGGAATTGACAAATTGTTAATTAATATATAATCTCAAGCTTTAAAATACATTGAGCTGCTATGGTTTGTACAAGCAGTGGTGGACAGTAACGGAGTACATTTACTTGAGTATTTGTTTTTTTGGAAACTTATGACTTTCACTCCACTACAAAACGAATATTGTGCTTTCGACTCCACTACATTTCTAGGAAGCTCGTCGTTACTGGTTCCTTTTAGGCTCAGCATAGCTTTGTAGTCAGCTGTTGGTGTTTTTCTTTTCTAAAATGCAATTGGCCTCACGCTGTGCTCCTCATAGAAGGGAACCAATCACAGTCACCGCTCACACATGGGATGGATTTGGCAATGGAGATGGCAGGAGAAGCTGAGGAAAGAGACTAAATGTGCACCATCTTTTAGGGATTTCCATCACTTTCCACAGACATGGAAAAATGCAGGGCGGTTTACAGATTTTATTAAGGCAAGGGTTATGTTGCCATGTAGCCAAGTGGTTCAACTGGATGATGAGTTCATGAAAGCAGAGTTGTAGTGTTGCAGAGTTGTTCGCAGTAATGGACTGAACAGTAAACTTGCAACTCCCCCACAGTGAATGTACGGGGAGAAAAAAAAGGCCCTCCTGTTTTTTTTGGGTGGGGATGTTTAAATAAAAAAATTAAATGACAATAGCTGTCCTTATTGTTTTTGATTGCATTTTTACGCTGAAGTTTTTACAGGTGTTTCTATAGACTTGTAAGTCAATACATCATTAGGTGGTTTCAGAGAGTTACAAGGTTCTGTATAAGCACTGAGAAAACAATACAGCAATGCACTGATATTAGAAAATGTACTTTGTACTTTTGAATACTCAAGTAGTTTTAAAAGTAAGTACTTTAGTACTTTAACTTGACTAAAATCTTGACCAAGCAACTTTTACTTGTAGTTGAGTAAGATTTGACCATGAGTATCAATACTTTGACTCAAGTACTGGAGTTGAGTACTTTGTCCACCACTGTGTACAAGTAGTCACCAAACAGATATATTTTACCTACCGCTGATTGTGTACACTTCTGCCTGTGATGTGAGAGTTCCTGTTGGTACCTCTGCTCCTGATCATGAATTCTGCTACGTCTGAATTCTCTCTTCCTTTATCAGACCGTACTACTGATGTGTTGGTCATGAACGATTCGTTCAAAACGAACGAATCATCTGGGTGAACGAACTGAACTGGATCACTTACTAAAAAGAGTCGTTCATTTCTCAACTTCAGTTGCCCTCTCCTCTCTTCCGTCTCGTGTCTCAAAGCTCCCGTTCACAGTACGTTCAGTGAACGAACTGAACGAGAGTTCCGACGTGAATCACGCTCCGACGTGAATCACTGAACGAACTGAACGAGAGTTCCGACGTGAATCACTGAACGAACTGAACGAGAGCGCCGCCGACGTGAATCACTGAACGAACTGAGAGGAAGAGCGGAGCTCTCGTTCAGTTCGTTCACTGAACGAACGAACTGAACGAGAGCTCTGACGTGAATCACTGAACGAACAGAACGGGAGCTCCGACGTGAATCACTGAACGAACTGAGAGGAAGAGCGGAGCTCTCGTTCAGTTCGTTCACTGAACGAACGAACTGAACGAGAGCTCTGACATGAATCACTGAACGAACTGAGAGGAAGAGCGGAGCTCTCGTTCAGTTCGTTCAGTGAACGTACTGAGAGGGAGAGAGAGACTCGTTCAGAATCAGTACACACAATCACTTTCACCACCCGTTTTTCATATTTTAGGTTTCACTACGCAAATAAAAGATGTACGCAAATAAATATTAGGTTATTAATTATTTTTAATTAGATAAAATGAAAACAATAAAAAATAAGTGAGAAACATAAATTACAGTGCAATTAAAAAAAACTCAAAAGATAAAAAAACAATAGGCTATCAAAAAGAAAATACAAAAAAATAAATATAGACTAAAACTACAGTGCAAAAACAAATATTAAATAGACAAGGTAGATTAATTGTCATTCATGATAATGTTTGCAAACTGAAAGCTTCATAACAACAAGCACATACATTTTCGCGACACCCAGCTTAATTGTTATTAATTAATGATCGTACAAATCATTGACTGACTGGTGAAAGTGATTGTGTGTACTGATTCTGAACGGGAGCTCTGAGTCTCTCTCTCCCTCTCAGTACGTTCAGTGAACGAACTGAACGAGAGCTCCGCTCTTCCTCTCAGTTCGTTCAGTGATTCACGTCGGAGCTCTCGTTCAGTTCGTTCAGTGAACGAACTGAACGAGAGCTCCGCCTCCTCTCTCTCCCTCTCAGTCAGACAGTCAGTGAGTGATTTGTGTACTGAACGTACTGAACAGAACGGTCGGGGAAAATAAATGTGATTGTTTTAGCAGCTTTCAGTTTGCAAACTGTGGCTTTATCCAACTAAATTCTCAGCTCATTGGTTTATTATTCACCACCGGCTGTTCTCAGTACGATCGCGAGCAGAACTAAACGTTCGGCCGTGTTTCAGTTTATTAAATTCTGATTCACAGACAGAGCTGCAGAGAAGTACTGAACGATTCGGTGAACGAATCATTTGAACGAATCACTTTACTGAACTGATTCTACTGATTCAGTACACTGAAAAGAACTGCTTTTCACATCACTAGACCGTACCCTTGACGGCAGCCCGTACTGCTGAACGGCATTGATAAAGCTCTGTAGGACAGTGCCAGCCCTATTATTGCCAGCCACATTCAGGTAGACCACCAGTCGACTGAATCCGTCCACCCCACCATGGACAACAAATCTCCACCTGTCAGACAGTTTTGAACACAAAAAAGCTTTAATGTGATAATTTCTTTGGACATCTATAGAAAGTTGCATTGTTTATCAACTAATATTACTGATACCTTATAAGCTTGTGGTGACCATCTATGTGCCATAAAGAGTTTGGGCCAGGAACAGAATACTGCCGTCGTCTTATTACATGCAGCCGTAGACGTCTCATGTACACTCCCTCAGCATCCACTCTGTGCAAAGACTCTCTCAGTCTTGAGACTTTAGAGCAGAAAATAATCATACACTCATTTGCTATTTATTTAAAAAAAAAACACTTAAAAAGCTAACTGAGAAATACTGGAAAAAAAATACCAGAGTTTCAAATATTTAGAAGTATTTTGATAGTGTTAGGGTGTTAATAAATAAATAATAATAAATGGCAACACCATGGATTTAAATCTGTAAATCCAGTACAAAACCACCAGTCTCAAAAATTACCAGAGTTCACCTTATCTATCATCAACATGATATATAGAACTTCATAATAACAGGATACAAATCTGGATTTACCCTGGAAATGAGTTTCAGATATATCAGCCGCTACGTTGCAAAAGAATACACACATACATAAGCCTTACCTTAACAATATATATTCTCATTGACCTTGTGTCTAGTTCATGGTTATTTATATTTATTCATATTGGGCTCGGATCATACTCACTTGGAACATGCACACCTCTAGCATTCAAATGTCCACGCAGTAGCTTGTAGCCGGTGTTTGGATGGCTTCTGTGGACTTCGCTTACAATACGGTCCAACTCCTCATCAGCAACAGGTGTGTAGAGATCTGTCTTTCTGCGCAGTCCAAAAAACTAAATGTTACATTTCACTTAACACCTTTTAAAATGAATGACATCGCCAGTACACTACTAATAATCTTAATAAAATCCGTGAATTTAACTGTGAATACCTTAGGCCACTATGTTTCATGTGCCTTCTGATTGTCCTCTTCGAAACTCCAAACCTCTCGGCAATTTCACTCGCTGGTAGCCCACACCGGACATGATGCTCTAGAACGGCAGTGGGGATGTCAAAAGCCGGGCGCCCTGGTCCGGGTCTGTGCTGCGGCCCCGTACCGGAGAAGCGCTGGAGAACTTCTTCTAAGTTTGCGAACACTCTTCGGTCAATATCTTGGTCAGAGAGAGCGGAAATAACTCCAAGAACTTCAATAAATCCCTCTGCTTTGCTCGCCACATGTTCAGCCGAAATTCCAGCGTCAACATTCTCTGCCAGGTGTTTTGTTTGTTTGTTTGGCGGGAAAGCGCCTAGTCTGGCAACCCTTCAGACCAAAGCAATGGTTTGTGACTCGATCAGCGTTAATCCCGCCCACTGAGTTTGATGGGAGAGGATAACAGATAAAATTATTTCATGATGCACTGCTGGAGCAGGAAACATGAAATAATTAAATAAATAGTGGAATAAATAGATGTGTTTTTACATAGAATGAATGAACATTTTAAATAATTATTTCAACATTTATTTAATTATTTATGTATTTCATAAATTATTTATTTATTCATTTATATAGTACAAATTTTAAATAATTAATGACACATTTAAATAATTATTTAATTATTTAATAACACGTGCATTTAATTAATTAACTAATTATATATTTATTTATATATTTGTTTATTTATTTCCAATATTAAATAATTGATGACACATTTAATGATTTAATGAATTATATATTTATATATTTCATTTTGGCACTTTTAGTCCTCCATAAGATAGCTCCTCAGCCAGTTTAATACAACCCCTCTGATACCATACCGTTCTAATTTATTAATTAATCTGTAGTGATTTATTGTATCAAATGCTTTTTTGAGATCAATAAAAACACCAGCTGCATAATTCTTTTGGTCCAGGTAATTTGTGATTTTTTCAATTAGCTCAATGACTGTAATGAAGTGGATCTGTTGGGTTTGAATCCATATTGGCTGTCAGTTAGTAAGTTGTGTTTATTGATAAATTTGTTTAGTCTTTGTGAAGTGGTGTTTGTCTCCAGTTTTGTACAACGGTATGACTTTTGCAATTTAAATTTTTCTTGGGAATTTACCAGTTTTAAATAATAAGTTACAGATGTGCGTTAGTGGTTCTGCAATTCCCTGAATGACCTGTTTAACTATTCTCATGTCAAAGTCATTATAGTCAGTAGAAGTTTTGTTTTTACATTTATGAACAATCTCTATAATTTCACTCTCTTCCACTGCTGTTAGAAACATTGATTTTGGATTAATGTCTTTGAAATCATAATTCTTGTCGTCAGATCTCACAGAAACAGGGATTTTTTCAGCCAGTATTGGTCCAACATTTGCAAAGTAATGATTGAAGCCATTAACTGCATCATCCATATTATCAATAGTCATATTATTATCAATAAAGTCATGTGGATATTTAACTTGTCTAGAACCATTTCCAATAACACTATTTAATATATTCCATAAACCTTTAATACTGTTTTTATTTTTCTCTAATAATTTGCTGTAATATTCTTTCTTACTATTTCTCATAATATTAGTTAGCTTATTTTTACATTTTTTATTTTTATTTTCTGCATCTTTGGTTCTAAGTCTTATGAATTCTTTATATAGTGTATTTTTCTTTTTGCAGGCATTTTGTAATCCCTTAGTAATCCATGGACTATCTGAATATTTAAATTTCATTTTGATTTCTTTTATTGGACAATGTTTATCATACAACAATTTAAATACCCCTAAGAATATTTCATAAGCTTTGTCAATGTTTTCTTCTTTATATAATATTTCCCAATTTTGATTTATTCATTCATTTTTTAAAGCGTTCATTGACTCTTCTGTCCGTACTCTTCTGTACTTGAATGTACTCTCCTGTTTTTCCCTCTTGTAGTCGTTATTGAAAACTATAAACACTGGCAGATGGTCAATGATGTCATTGAACTATGTGAACTATGCATATCTGCCAGACGTTGTGTTGGTTCCATTGCGAGGAGCGGGCAAGAGCGGCCCTGACATGTCTCCATATGTCTCTCGAGACATCTCCTACTGCTAACAGCGCTGTCATCACTTCAAATCTCTGCATCACTTTATTTCTGCTGTTGAAGAAGTCCAACTTGTATCTGCTGTGTGACACATCTGGAGTGCTCTTCTATCAGATCTGTTTCTGTTAACCCTGATGGAGGGAAGTTTATTTACATCTCTTTGATTACTGCAACCTGGAGCTGTTAGACAGCTGCTGTGTCACTTTCAATGTGTGTTCAATAAACAACACAAATGAATGCAGGATTGATTTTAATAGAAAGTCAACAAACCTGAGATAGACATAGACAAACTTTATATGACAGATTAATCCCAGACTCTGAGATATAAATATACATTTGTTCTCTGATGATCCTCTCAGATATCTTCAGTCACTCATGATGAGAATTGTTCTGCTGCCTGTGAACAACACTGTCACTTCTTTCAGCAGGTACATACAGCTGCTGAACACACTTTGACTCTTGTTGCTCTACATCTACTCACAATCATTGGTTGCATGACTTCCTGCTCCTCCTAAAATCTGGGTTAGCAGCAGACATCTTAAATGTGTCTCTGTCATCAGAGTATGTGTAACATGGTGACATTTATAAATCAAACTCTGTTTTATTGCACTAATTATCAGTTTGAGCAGTAAATGCTGGAAGAGAAACTTTATCTGCAGGATTAGTTTTTCCTCTATTAATCAGGTTTTCACTTTCACACCCTGAAGGGACGTGCACACACATCAGTAAGTGAGAGACAAGCCAAGAGAAATGCCCTCATTCTGAAACAACCTGTGATTCATCACAGTCTCCTGTCACAGGCTTGATTTTAGAAATCCTGAAATCAGAGCCAAGAGGAGGTGCAGACGTCTAGTGTGATGATGATGCCAAAATAAACTGCCTGTAGCTTTAAGTCATTATATCCAGGTAGTTTAGTAAAGTCTTGTTCTACATTTTGACCTACGATCTACAATATGTGGGAGGAGTCTTCTTTAAAACAAGTCAGTGATGGTGCTCTGGATAGCAGTTATGACACATCATGCTCCATGAACAGATGTTATGATCCTCTTTGCAGCAACTGTGGGTTTGAATCCAGACTCTACACTTTGCTGCATGTCATCCCCCTCTCTCGCCTTTAAACGTTTCACCTCCAGCTGTCTTATCCAATACAGACAAATATCCCCCAAAGAAAAAAATTATTCAAAGCCAATAGGGCACCGGTGGCCCAGTCCTCCAGGCTGGCGTTCCTCATCCTCTCTCTTCTTGATTTCTGATCATTCACTGTCCTGTCTCTAAACAAAAAGGCAGAAGAAGCCCCAAAAATAAACCTTTAAAATGGTCAGGGTCCTGGAGCAGGAGGAGGAGGAGGAGATAATCTGCTGTCAGGATGTGCAGGCTGACATGTTTAACATAAAGACATCAGACACAGATCATCTCCATGCTGATGTTCTGTGTCACAGATTAGAGTCTGGAGCCAATGTAAAGACAGAGCAGAGTGTTTTAGAGACAACACTGCAGCTCTGCTGCTGTACAAGTCACTTTGATTTAGTCAATCTCAAACTCACCAACAACAGCCTCTAAATGATCACTCTTCACTGCTTTCCAGCTATCAACTGCTTGTAAAAATAATTCTGTAATGCAAAATCAGTACCTGGTTAATCACTGCATTGTAGTAGCTATGAGAAGCTTAGTCATCAGTGTTAAATGTTCATATGTCATTGAACTGTAACCTGCAAAAGTCAAATCCTGGATTTTAAAAGTCATGACACCTTTAGTAAACCCAAATGAGAGGAAGTCCCTGCAGAGGAAATGTGCAGGTGTGATGTATGTGAGGAGAGTAAAGAGATGATACTGCAGGTTGGCTGTCTGATGATTTATAGAAATGTGGATATTAGATGTGGAGGGAGTGAAAGAGCTGAAAGATGTCTGATTCTCCTTCTGGCCGTGTCCAGCAGAAAGTAAGCCCTGCTTATGTCATCCTCTCCTCTGATTCTGGTGAATATCCAAACTTAAGCTGCAGGATCTCTTCCAGATGTTTAAATCCAGCATTTACACCCTTCACTCTAACAGTCTGTGTGTCTTTAGCTGAGGACACCACACAAACACTCAGGGGAGGAAATCATCATCTGCTTTGTCTTCTTGTCTTTGTTAGACCTGAACAAAGGAGTCTTTGGAGCTTTCTCATTTCTTTCACCTTTGAAAGTATAAACTGACTTTGAGATTGTTCTTCTTGTTGTCACCTTTCTGTGGTTGTTGTTGGGTGAACTTTGGCTGATCTCAATGAAACTACTTCATTAATCTGTCCCTCCTGTTGTTAGCTGGATTAAAAACAACCAGACTGTTCTGTATGTTTCTGTCTCACATGCTGACGTGTTGGGTCTGCCTCAATGCTTCTTTTCATCTTCTCCACCAGTATGACTTTGGGTTTGTGGATTTCTCTCTCTCATAGACAGAAAAGTGTCTCACTCACCTCAATGTCAGGGAAGAAAGGATGAAAGAAAAACTTTGATAAATGAAAGAAAAAGAAAAGACTCTTCCTGATGGAGAGTCTGTGAACACTTTATAAGAAAGTCTTATATCTTCTATCTCTCATTCACTTTATTATAATTTCACTCTTTACAAAGTCTTTGATGTGCTCTGATATTTCTGTCAAACAGCACAATGCAGAGTGAGATGTGTTGATTCATGCAGCT